GCTCTACTCAGCCCTTTTCTTGCCATATATGCGAGGGCCATTCAAAGTATTCTCGGTATCGGGGTGGTTAAGCAGTGTCGAAGGAATAAACCATTTCATTAGGTAACGACACTCCTGAGGGTATAAATACAAAATTTCATTTAGTTATCATCAATGCTATTCTAGTTATCCTTGGTGAAAAGAACCAGAATGAGTGATGCGACAACGTTGAGAAAATTATGACTGATCAAAAGATTGGAAAAAATGAAAACAAAATTGAGAAAAATGAAAAGAAAATTGGGAATGATTAGAGATCACTTCTCGTTCTGCAACCTAGAAATAGATCTCCGTGAAAAACGTTTTTCTGACGATGAAGAGCTGAAGGCGGCAATTAACGCACATTTTGGGGACAAGGAGGAAAAATATTTCAGAGGGTATTGAAAAGTTAGTTTCCCGAGCAAGCAAGTGTATTGAGGTATTAAGGGACTACAATGGAGAGCAAATTTTACTCAAAATTTCCTGTCTTTTCCTTCATACCTATATCGAAAATACACTGAACACCCCTCGTAAGCATATGTCAATAATCATTATTCAGTTCAGATGGATATACTCATAAGTAGAGATAAAAAGGTTCCAGTAGAAGGAGCATGTAGGGCGTTTTGTGAAAGTTAGTGAAGTGAAATTGTATTGAAAAAAATGTGAAGTGAAATTTTTTCAGTAGAAGGAACTGGTGGGAATATTGCATTTTTGAAACTTCGTTCCAGTTTCCGCAGTGATAAATGACGAAGCCATAGTTTTGCGTCTCGTTTACTTCATTCTCGCACATAGAAGAAGACCGAAAACACGGTTTGATCATGACACGGGAGAACAAAACTTCTCTATGCGTGGTATCAAATAAAATTTCTCTTATAATAGTACTGATCCCAAATAAGAACGCAGCACACGCTGATTCAGATGGACGGAGTCAGACCTGCCACTGAGGCACTGTCACTGGTGCATTGCCTCTTCTCTTTTTTCCTTCTTTCTTCATTTTTCTTAGCTGTATGCAG